CCCCCTGCAGCCGCTGCCCCAGCCAAGGGAGCAGCAAAGGCAGGGCCGGGAGCAGAGGCAGCAGCAGGGGAGCACTGGAGGGGATGAGAAGCTCTTGTGTGGGGCAGGAAAGAGGCGCTGGGCACGAGGCCGGGGCTGTGCTGAGCAGGCCCAGCCCTCACATCCCCCCAGCCAGCGCTGGCTGCCCGGGGGGCACGGGAGGGACCCCCAGCCCGTGTGCCCCACACTCAGCTGGCAGGGAGAGAGCCAAGGGACAGGGCCACGGGCAGGGCCACGGGCGAGGGACAGGCAGGGCCATTGCAGGGCCACGGTGAGGGCACAGCCTGTGGCAGCAGAGCTGCCCAGGCCCGGGGGCAGCCGGGGGTGTTGGGACCAGCCAGTGCTGGGGCTGAGCAGAGCACGAGGCCTCTTGCAGAGCCCTGGAGCAGCCTCCCACTTGCCAGCCCTGCCCTGGTGGGGTGACACTGTCCCCTCCCTACGGGACGCTCTCCCTGAAATCTTTATGGGGGCCTTTTGTGTCTCTTCCTGGTTGCTGATTGATGCTGGGGACCTGAGGGAGCCTCTGCAATCCCATCCATGGGGCACAATTTCCTCTCCAGAGCTTAACTCGCTGCAACCTTTGCAGGGAAATCTGTGTTGGCAGCGGCATCCTGAACCCTAGGGCAGTTTGTATCCCCGAGTGCTGATCCATTCTGGGGACCCAAGGGATCCTCTGCCATTCCATCCATGCAGCAGGAGTCACCCTCCTGCCCTTGACTCCTTGCAGAGGAACAAGTGCCATCTCCCTGTTTGGGAGAAGCCAGATGCTCCCCCTGGGCCATCAGAAGTGGTGCTGAAGCCTCTTTCAGCCCAGCCCCGGGTGCAGTTTTCTCATCCCCTCACCGAGTGCCCGCTCCCCCAGCCGGCACTGACCAACCAGGGCATTTGGCACACGTGGTTTGGTGGTTTGGAGAAACAACCCTGGGCTGGCAGGGGGCCAGAGAACCTCGAGGAACAGCCCTGGCAAGTTTGAAGTGACACTACATTAAAACAGCTTTTGATTAATATATAGCAACTCAATCAAGTGCTCATGAAATGACCTCACTCCCCTCATCCTCCTAATTAAACACCATTTTTTTGGGCTGCATCTTCATATTTTGGAGTATTTTTTGGCTGAATACTAACTTTTTGCAGTTTGGCAGGGGGTTAATCTCCCTGTTTCTGAGGCTTTTTTTTGCCTGAATCATGATGGTTTGGGTTTTTCTGGGCTGAATCTTGGTGTTTTGGAGGTTCTTATGGTCACAGGATGCCTGGTGAGTTCTAGAGATGGATTTGGGCAGGAGGAACCCCCAAGCCAAGGCACTCAGCCCTTGTTTTCTCCCCATCAGGATTTGTCCTTCCCAGAGCTTGGGCGGATGGAGGAGGAGGCTGCGAGGAAGAGGAAGATGCCGCGGGCCCCCCAGGCAGGTGAGGAGGAAGTCAGTGGCCCTTTGGGCGGGTGTTGTGCTGGCTCTGGCAGCCGAGCATGGCCCCCGGCTGCAGGACAACCCCGCTGCGGGTGTTGTGCTGGCTCTGGCAGCCGAGCATGGCCCCCGGCTGCAGGACAACCCCGCTGCCGCCGCCGTCCTGCCGGGGCCGGAGTTGGGGGGATGTCCTTGGCCTTCCCTGTGGGCCGGAGGCAAATCCCCTCCCTGTCCTTCTTGCTTCCTGCCCCAGGCCCCGAGCTGAGGACGGAGAGCCCGGAGGACAAATCCCCCCGGCAGAGCCTGGTGGGAGAGGCCGTTTTGAAGGGCTCCACGGCACAGGAAGGCAGCGGGGAGGAAAAGGGCCGGAGATCCCCCTGCAGGAGGGGCTCCAAAGCCAGCCCAGGGTGCTCTGAGGAGGAAAGACCCAGCCTGCACCGGGAAGGTGGCCAGAGCTTGAGGGGGAGCTCTGACCTGATGGTCCCTGAGCAGCCTCCCAGCAGGGAGAAACCCTTCAGGTGCTTGGAATGTGGGAAGAGCTTCAGGCAGAGCGCCCACCTCCTCACCCACCAGCACATCCATACTGGGGAACGGCCTTACACATGTAGGGAATGTGGGAAGAGCTTCAAGTACAGCTCCAACCTGATCCAACATCAGCAAATCCACACTGGGGAACGGCCCTATTCGTGTGGGGAATGTGGGAAGAGCTTCAGCCTGCTCTCTGACCTGATCCGACACCAGCACATCCACACTGGGGAACGTCTCTACCCGTGTGGGGAATGTGGGAAGAGCTTTAGGTACAACTCCAACCTGATCCAACACCAGCGCATCCATAGTGGGGAACGGCCCTACACGTGTGGGGAATGTGGGAAGAGCTTCAGCCAGAGCTCCAGCCTTCGCACCCACGAGCGCATCCACACCGGGGAACGGCCGTACAAGTGCTTGGAATGTGGGAAGAGGTTTCCAACCAGCTCACATCTCCTCCTGCATCAGCGGACGCACACTGATGAGAGGCCCTTCCACTGCACCGACTGCGGGAAGGGCTTCAAGCGGAACTCCCACCTCATCACCCACCGGCGCATCCACACCGGGGAGAGGCCCTACAAGTGTGGGGAGTGTGGGAAGAGCTTCACCAAGAGCTCTAACTTGACCAAATGCCAAAGGACCCACCGGTAAGAGAAGTCCTGCAAGTGCCCCGACTGCGGGAGGAGCTTCACCCACTGCTCCAACTCCATCAGCCATCGGAGGACTCCCATTGGATGATCCACAGGGACCCAAACTGGGCACAGACCTGGCGACCCACATTCCAGGTGATCTGTGCTGGGCAGTGTATTGGGTTTTAGATGGCCATGTTTTGGTTCCTGGGGGGCTCCAGGGGTGGGTTCTGTGAGCAGCTGCCAGAAGCTTCCCCCATGTCCATCCCCTGTCCCAACCCCCCTGACAGCGAGGGTGACTCAGGGTCTTGTTAACTGATCCCTTCGGGCAGATTAGAGTTAGTTTATCTCTATATATCTCTATCTGTATATATATGTAGGGTTTAGTTTAGTACAATTTTGTCTCCATGTAAAGTAGCTTTGGGGCAGTTTTGGCTCCTGTCTATAATGATATAAAACCACAAAAATAACACTTCCCCTCTCTGGCTCCAAGCCCAGCCTGTCCCCTCCAGGGGTGGATGTTCACCCCTCTGCCCCAGGCAGTTCCATTGCCCTTGGGCAGCAAAGCCCCCGCTGCTTCTGCAACTGGAGACTGTTGGAGCCATGGACCATTAACATTCCAGTCTCTCCCAGCTCTGCATCCCAAAAGTCGAGAGGGATCAATCTGTCACCTCAAAGTGGATCAATCCCACTGAAAATGGCTCAATCCCACCCCAAAATTCCTGTGTTTCTTATTTTCCCTATGTAATTCTGGGACAGCTGGTGCCACCCCTCAGCTCTCCACAGGCTGAGGCTTGGCCTTGCACTTTTGCTTTTGCTGGATTTCTTCATCAAATATTTCTCTCTCCCTGAAAAGAAAAATTTGGAAGGTTTTCAATAATCTGGACATCTTTAGACCATCTGGACAAATTACAGTTTGCAGTGTTGGAACAGCTCAGCCAGAATGTTTTCCATGTTTAATCATTTGTTCCCATCCCTCCCAGGAGGGAGGACACTGAACTCTTCCACAGAAACAGAAAACTAGTAACAAAAATTCAGAGACTACTGAAAATGAAAAATACCTTTTGCTCACAGGTGGCCCTTTCATGTCCTTCTCTTCTGCCTTCCTGCAATCCATGTTATCCACGGCAGCAGTTGCCTAGATCATGGCCCAAAAAAGCTTTTTAATTCCTTTATAATCATTCCAGAAAACTGAATCACAGTTGGGGGGTGGGAGACCAAACAGGTGTTCAGGCTGGAGAGCCAGAGGCAGCTCCCCAGAGAGAGGCCTCAGAGATAGTGATGGAATCCATCAGACGACCTTGGGCACTGTGAGAGGGAGAGAAGAAGCTGCAAACTTCAGGGGAAGGACACCTGTGGTGAAGACCTGCTACCAAAGTTAAAAATGAGAAGGAAAAGACTGTTTTAGTTCACCCCACTTATGAAATATGAATTAATTTATAATTAAGAATGACAATGTGTTGTTAGAAAAATTTGAATAGTGTGGATAAGTTAGAAAAAGTGTGTGAGAGTATGTTAAATAGGTCCATGCGTGCCTCCTTCCCTGTAGCCTAAAACTTCCTGTGCTAGGTGGGATAAAAATGCTTTAATGTAAACATTGCATACCTTTTCTGCCATTTCGGGGTGGACGAGGAGGATGGAAGAATAAAACTTCTATTTTTAGTGACGCAGTCAGATTGTCTTTATTAACAGCCAACAATAGTAAAAGAGTTTAAAACTGTGTCAGGACAGATTTTAGGCATTGGCAGTTCTCCACAATTCCTTTAGTTCCATGAGGCTCTGCAGTGTCACAACTGGCCCTTGACTCCATGAGGTTCCAAAAAGTCCCAGGGTTCCTTTGGCTCCATGAGGCTCTGCAGTGTCACAGTGGCCTCTTGATCCTGTGAGGTTCCATAGTATCCCAGGATTCATTTTTTCCATGAAGCCGTGGACTTTCACTATGGATCCCTGATTCCCTGCAGCCATGCTGTGTCACAATGGCACCTTGGCTCCATGAGATCCTACAGTGTCCCAGGGTTCCTCCTGGAGCATGAGACCCTGCAGAGTCACAGGTGCCCCTTGATTCCATGATATTCCACAGGGTTCCTCTGATTCCATGAGGCCCCACATGTCACAATGGCCCCTTGATTCCATGAGGTACAACAGTTTCAGAAAGGTCCCTTGATTCCATGAAGTTCCACAGTGTCACAAGGGTCCCTTTAGCTCCGTGGGGCTCTTTGACATCCCGTGACCTCACGGCTCTTTAGGAGCCCTGACAACTTCAACAGGGGGAAGTGCCGGATTCTGCCCTGGGATGGGGCAACCCCGCATGGATGGACAGACTGGGAAGGAGAGGCTGGAAAGCAGTGCCGGGAAAGGGCCCTGGGGGTGCTGGTGGGTGGCCAGTTGGCCCTGAGTCAGCAGTGCCCTGGCAGCCAGGAGGGCCAAGCCTGTCCTGGGGGCATCAGGCCCAGCATGGCCAGCCGGGCCAGGGAGGGGATTGTCCCACTCTGCTCTGCCCTGGGGCGGCCTCACCTGCACCATTGGGGTGGTTTGGGGGGACACAATGGAAGGGAGAGATTGAGCCATTAGAGAGTGTCCAAAGGAGGGCAAGGAAGATGGGGAAGGGCCTTGGGGGGAAGGCGTGTGAGGACACTGAGGGCACTTGGTGTGTTCAGCTGGAGGAGACTGAGGGGAGACCTCACTGCAGGTCCAACTTCCTGGGGAGGGGCAGAGGAGGGGCAGGCCCTGAGCTCTGCTCTGGGGGGACCGGGGACAGGCCCCCGGGGAATGGCTTGGAGTTTTGTCAGGGCAGGGTTAGGATGGATCTTAGAAAAAGATTCTTCCCCCAGCGGGTGTTTGGGCACTGAACAGGCTCCCCAGGGCAGTGGGCACAGCACCAAGGCTGACAGAGCTCAAGAAGTGTTTGGATGATCCTCTCTTGGGCTCATGGTGTGACTCTTGGGGATGGTCCTGTGCAGGGCTAAGGGTTGGACTGGATGATCCATATGGGTCCCTTCCAACTAATCCTAATGTGTGATTCTGTGATTATCAACCCTGTGTTCAGCACAAACCAAAACACAGCCCTGCACTGGCCATGGGGAAGAAATTTAACTGTACTGCCCCTGAAACCAGCACACCCTTTAGGGGCTCTCACAGAAACATCCCATAGTCCATTTTCCACCTGGAACCAGGGACTCTGAGTTCCTGCTTCCCCAGCCCCAGGGATGGTCTCCTTGTCTGCTCATTCCTCCATACTCTCTTCTCAGTGATGGCATCTTAACCAGACAAGCCCCTGGGAATAATTTACTTGTTAGTCTTCAATTCTTTTGTGGTTAATTAGACAGATCTCAGAAGTGCATTCCAAGTGAATATCTTGTATTACTAAAACCATGAGAAAAGATGTCTTTTTTGTGGCCTGTTTACTTTTTTCCTGTTTTAACATTGATATCAACAATCCCCAGTTGATTTTGGTCCCAAGTACTTGCTAATTCAGTCTGAATAGATAAGAATATCAAGACCCTTTTATGTCTGACAATCCATCAGACTTTATCCCTATCCCCACCCCACCATTCCCTCCTCAAAACCCTGGCACTCAAAGCAGCCTTGGGCAAATCTGAGCTTCCTCCACTCAAGGCTGGACCTGCAGGTTTCAGCTCCTTGGCACCAACTCCCACCTGCTTGGCTTGGAGAAAGAGCTGCCCGAGACACAGAGGGATGTTCATTTATTGCCAGCAAACAAAACCAGAGGAAGGCACAGCTCAGTAAAAACCAAAAGTCCTTCCCCTGCTGTATGTTAAGTCCACATTGCCTCCACTGAAGACCACTTTGCACAGTAGATAGTTTTAGACCAATGGCAAACACCTTCTGTGTCAAGCACAGATCCCAAGATCCCCCCAACACTCCCTGCCCTGGATTCTGTCCATATTTGCCCTTTCACACAGGGAGTCACACACTGAAGTCACAAGATCCTTCCACTCACAGAGGGAGGAAAAGGGAGAAAGTGAATGAATTGCTGTGTTGTGCAGAGATAAATCTACATTTATTCCGATAATCTGGGGTTACAGAAATGTTATCAAACACATTCTGCAGCATCTGTTCACTGGGGAAACATCTGGGTGGATGGCCAGGCCCAAGGAAGTGGTCAGATCTATTTGAGACACTTTCATCTGGTCAGTCCCATCCCCCTGTCCATTGTTGGATGTCACTCAGGAGCCCAACTCTTGGCTACCTGTGCATCTCCAGGATGGACTTTCACAGCCAACCTCTCTGCCCGGGTGGCAGGAGGGCCTACCCTGATAAGGCCTAAAATGCCATCAGAGAATGCCAACAGTGCCAGCTCTCATGCAAGCTGTCTGTGAGATCTGAGAGTTACCGGTGGCACCATGGGAATGGTTTTGGTGTTGAATGATGCTCAAACCAGCCTGGTTCACCCAACTCCAAACACACATCCTGCTTTTGGAAGTTGGATGGGACAGAGAAGCTGCTAACTGGCCTGTACATTTGTGAGGAGCAGTCAATCCCTTCCTACTCTAGAAGTCCAGTCCCCTTTCATCCAGGCAGGTTCTTCTAACACAGCCCTTCTTGGGGTAGATGTGTGGAGATTCCTGCCTTGGGTGGGGATGCCCTCCAAGGACACTCCTCAAGGTTGAGCAAAAGAAATCTCCCCACGACCGTTGGTCTGGGTGAGTTACATCACATCTCTACGTAATAATTATTTCTTTTGGCCAGCTTTAATAGAATTGTTTCAATATTTGCTTCAATATACTGCACTATCCTATCTTGTACTGTACTACTAGCAGTTTTAGCCTTTATACTGTGTAGTAAGTAATTCTGATTAAGATCTTTTGTCTGATCATTTGTAAGAATAAATGATTAATTTTATATAAATACTGCCATTTGGCCAATCATTAAAACCTGTGGGACAAAAGTGGTTCAATCCCACTTCTGTAACTCCTTAAATTTAATTTGTTGACAAAATCTGAGGCAAAGATTGGATCCCTTATTCCTTGAGGCTCCACAGTGGGACAATGGCTCCTTGAT